AGAACTATGGGCAACAAATTTCTGCTATTTATAAATTACCCAGTCAAAGGTATTTTGTTGTAGCAATCAACTGCACTAAGACATTCTCTTTAGAGGAATGCCTGCCTTGTGGCCTTACAATCTTGACGTAGTCCCTTAAGATAAAAACACTCCTAGGTGTGCACTCCATACTAGAGTGGCTCCTAATTTTCAATCCTTCGATGAAATCTGAATTGCTGTAATTCACTAATGGGAATGGCCATCAGATGGAATTCCAGGGCTCGGCGGCCTCAAGGCACAGCATAAAAATGGGTCAGATTCTTTAAAAGGCATCACGGGGACAAGTACTTGTTCTATCAGTGAAGCTGCCGGTAGGCACTTCCACATCCCGTACCAGAAAGTCTGGGTTCTAAATCTGCCTCTGGCTCCCACCTCCAGCTCCTTGCTAACACGCATTCAGGGAAGCGGCAGTGGTGGCTCGAGGAACTGGCTACTACCACCAACGTGCGAGACTTGCATCGAGTTCCGAGTTCCAGTCTTGATCCAACCATGGCCCATGCCAACATATGACAATGAAATAACCAATGGGCATTCTTCCTCATGCTCTGTCTCCCAATTAAGAATTTTATTTAACAATTTAACAATTTTTAAAAGGGATCACTTATGAATGTAAGCTGTTCTGGAAACAGGTAAGATCTATGCCTCATGATGTCAACAAATAAAGACTCAGATCAGTTAACTGCTTGATTCGTGCATTTCCCGACTATTTCAGGCCCTGGAGTTAGAGCAGTCAATCAACAGGCAGAATTCCCTGCCCTCAAGACGCTTCAGTTTCTCCTAGTTAGCTTACTAAGCAAGAGAACCCAAGAGGGGCAGGCATTTGGCTCTGTGATCAAGTTGCTACTTGGGATGCCCATATCCCATAATAAACTACCTGTGTCAAGTGCTGGCTACTCCATTTCCGATCCAGCGCTCCTGCTAATGCACACCCTGGAAGGCAGTGATTGGGTCCCTGCTCATGTGGGAGACCCAGACAGATTTCCAGCTTCAGCCTGGCTGTTGTGGGGATCTGGGGAGAATGAATCAGTAAATGCAAAATGCTCTCGCTCTCTCTCTCTATCTGCCTTTAGAATAAAATGAAAATAAATAAAAATTTCAAATAGAGAAGAAAGGCAGCGTGTGATTATGCTGTCAGGGACACAACAGGCTGCTGACTCCCTGCTGTGCAGGCCTGGTTCCTCCTGGCATCCACAGCCTTGCTTTGAGCAGTTAAGAGAAGGGAATTCATGTGTGCCACACATTTTAGGTCAAATGCTATGACCTCCTTCCTTAATAAATGTAGCAATAACCATCTTAATTGCACAGATATACACCGCACCCACTACTGGCAGATTACAATTAATTTCACTTCACTAGTTTTTAAAATAACTCTTTAGCAGACTATTAAGCCTTGCCTTTTAACTAATTAAAGCTGCTTCCAAAGAGAGCTTTTTATTGTAGCCAGTTAACTCATTATTTCCAAAAACTAAGTAGAGTAAATGCTATAGATCCTGGTTAATGCTGAACACGTCTGATACAATAGATTCAAGCTCTGTTTCAATTCATTCACAAAATATTCTGCCCTTGTCTCATGAGAGTTGCCAAGGCCTGCCTTTAACTACATCTGGTATTTCATTAAAGAATATCTGTGGAACCCTAAATTCTGATATGTGGGAGTCTTGTTCTTCTGAACCTGAATGATGTCTGAAAAACCTCAAATTAGCTTTCTAGTTGTAATGCTATCAGGTGAGTCTACAGCTTGCAAAATTGCCAGGTTGATTATTTTGTTAAATGTAACATCACAAACCTGTGCCCATATGGGATGCCAACACCGCAGGCAGCGGCCCCACCCGCCAGGCCACAGCACTGGCCCCAAAGCTACTATCTGGTTAAAATGCATGAATGGGCTTGCGCCGTGGCTCACTAGGCTAATCCTCCACCTTGTGGCGCCGGCACACCGGGTTCTAGTCACAGTCGGGGCGCTGGACTCTGTCCCGGTTGCCCCTCTTCCAGGCCAGCTCTCTGCTGTGGCCAGGGAGTGCAGTGGAGGATGGCCCAGGTGCTTGGGCCCTGCACCCCATGGGAGACCAGGATAAGTACCTGGCTCCTGCCATCGGATCAGCGCAGTGTGCCAGCTGCGGCAGCCATTGGAGGGTGAACCAATGGCAAAGGAAGACCTTTCTCTCTGTCTCTCTCTCTCACTGTCCACTCTGCCTGTCAAAAAATTTAAAAAGTATGAATGAAAAAAATAAGTATACTATTTTAAGAGTAAATTTCTAGATGTTAAAGTGTCCATACAAAGGCAGCAAACTACCAAGTAAAGAAAGAAGATTTAGTATTAGTATTACTGGGTAAGAAAGCCAAAGCAGAGAGATGAAGGAACTTCTCATGGGTTTGCTAACTGGTCAGTGATTTATTCCAACACCAGAAGTGAAAGCTCCTGATTTAGAGGAAGGTTTTCATGAGACCACATTGTTCCACATTTCAGCTTCCTGGCTCAAGTTAATACAGTAGTTCTGCTGTCTCTGTGGTTTGAGTTACCCACAGTCAACCATAGTCCAAAAATATTCAATGGAAAATTCCAGAAGTAAGCAATTCATAAGTTTTACATTGCATTCCACTCGGAGAAAGAGAAAGCACATTCACTTAACTTTTATCATGGAATATTATTATAACTATTCTATTATTGCTTTTATTATTCTCGCAGGGTGCCTAATTTATAAATTCAACTTTATCATAGGTATGCATATAGGAAAACACATACATAGGGCTTGGCATTAGCTTCAATTTCTGGCATCCACTGGAGTCTTCTGACCATACACCCCAAGGACAAGGGGAGCACGAGTGTAGTTAGGGTGGAAAGCAAACTCCCATACGAGCATCCCAATTCCTGACACAGCCTTCCTCACAGCACACCTGGGCCCACGCACCACTGCTGCTGCACAAGGACGGGCACCCTTACTGGCCACCACTCCTCTTGGAGAGGGACACACCCCATGGACAAACAACTCCTCTTTACATAAACACAGCCAAGAAGTCTTCAGTCCCGCAAGACAGTAACTGTCCCAAGGCTCTTGCAGAGGCCCCCCGGGCACTGTCCTGGTGAGACAACTGCTCCTTTCATTCATGCTCTCTAAATATCAGCTCAATCCCTGGTGTGCCACCCTCCTCCCTCAGACCAGCAGCTCAGTCAATGCAGTGCAAATAGTGGCCTGAGCGAGGAGGCTGTGTGCATGAAGATGCGAAGTTTCCCAGGCTGGAGGGAGCTGGTTACTTCCACAGAGTCTAGTGCAACACCTAGAAATCAGAGCAAGTGCTGACAGGTTGGCTAACAGACACTTCTTATCTACTTCAATTCTCATTTAGGATGCCAGGAGATGATAACCCGTTTTGATGCTGATTAATGATAATTTAGATAGTGAGAAACCAAACCACACGCAGGAACACGGGAAACATGTTTTCGTAAAGAACATTAAATACAGGCAACAGGTCAAGCGACACTCACACTAGCATCTCATGGACTAGACAAAGTGCAATCCTATCCACAATGGTGCACACAGGATCTGGCCCAAGTTCCTCTCTACCACTGATCACCTCTCTTAAGAACAGGGGGATTCCATTGTGCAAAATTAAAATCCTTACTGTAAAAAAATCCAGGTAAACTAGACATCTACACAAACTAGGAGGAGGTATGCTGTGCTGACCTGGGCAAAATGCAGCTCTAGCACCAACGGGGGTCCCACAGCATCATCTCTGGCTGATGCTGACACTGCACCCGGTCCTCACCACCATTGGATCGCGCCAGAAAATCAGGAGGAAGTGCCCAAACTCTGTATCTCAACAGCTTAATAAAAATGCATGTGTGCTATTTTTAAATGAATTAACATCTGTGATTTTGGCAAGTCTTCATCATAAATGCAATTAGTGCAATTCACTGGATTGAGTGTACGATATCTGAGAAAGAAAGAGCAGCTTTTGGTGCAATAGCATTCCTCGTTCTAACTCACTGCCTGCTTATAATAGTCAAATCAAAACCTGCACGTCTTATGGAAACAGAAATCAGAGCCTATTTTAACCTTCCTCTTATGCTGAGCAAGAGGAAACTGAGGCCTGTAGAGTCTATACAGTGTCCCCGAGACCACAGTCTGCTAAGATATGGAGCTAGACCCTGCTTCATACCAGAAAGCCAGAGCATGAGGGAATCATTTCAATTCTTAGTGCTGCCTCTTGGCTAACAGTACAAGTCAGCTGTCTGTCAACTGCATGGAATTCAGGTCACTACGGCACTACCAAGGCCTACAGCTGAAATTGAGAAAGTGGAGACAAATGCACTAATTTAGGGAAAGACTTAACTTACCAGATGGTTAACACCAGGAACTTTGCCGTTGACCCCAGATCTTTTCTCACCAATTAGTGAGGCACGAAACATCAATGTCACAGGTGGGTGACAGCTGGCGAGCCCCAGGGTGGGTGAATTTCATCACCTAGGGTAATGCCCTCACTGTCTTCCCCACCTGTGTTTCTGTGACTGTTGTTCACCCCAACTAGGCAGAAGCTGCACAGGAGTGAACTCCCGCTGCGAGAGGGAGACACAGAGTCATGAGAGGACTCCTGCTAACATGCTGATAGAATCACCACTCACTAATGACACACAGTCATGAGACAATGTTCAAATGGGAAAGAACAGCCTAGGGTAAGAGTGAGAGCATCATCCTGTTTTAGAGTAAAGGGAGGTCCTAGCTCTTGCTGGGAAGAACACTTCGACTTAACGTTCACTCTGAGGTGTGTCCAGCAATTAACCTTTTTCCTGTTTATAAATCCTTGCTTAAAAACACATGCATTCCTAATTATAATTTATTTTAGCAACAAAGCATCATATACCAACATGCTGCTGAAATGGAAAATTTTCTAAGTAGACATCTGCGGCCTCATGAAAAACTGAGTTTAAGAAAATCATTGCTCTGGCCGGCGCCGTGGCTCACTTGGCTAATCCTCTGCCTGTGGCGCCGGCACTCCGGGTTCTAGTCGCGGTTGCTCCTCTTCCAGTCCAGCTCTCTGCTGTGGCCCGGGAAGGCAATGGAGGATGGCCCAAGTGCTTGGACCTTGCACCCACATGGGAGACCAGGAGGAAGCTCCTGGCTCCTGGCTTCGGATCGGCGCAGCATGCCAGCCGTAGCGGCCATTTGGGGGTTGAACCAACGGAAGGAAGACCTTTCTCTGTCTCGCTCTCTCACGGTCTAACTCTGCCTGTCAAAAAAAAAAAAGAAAGAAAGAAAAAAAGAAAACCATTGCTCTGCTTGTTATAATTCACCTCCCTTGATCTTAATGAAACTCTCCTGCTTTTTAAATTACAGTTTTTAAAATATTTGTTTGATAGAAAGAGAGAAACACACAATGAGAGTGCGCCTGTCCACTGGTTCACTCCCCAAATGCCTATAACAGACCCTGGCCAGGGCAGAAGCCAAGAGCCAGGAACTCAACCCAGGTCTCCTACACAGGTGGCAGGAACCCAGTCACTTGAGTCAACAGCGGTACTGCTCAGGGTCTGATCAGCAAGAAGGCAGCTTGAGCAGGTACTGAACCCAGGCACTCCTGTTAAGGGACATGGGTGTCTTAACCAGTATCTTAACCACCAGGCAAAATTCCTGCCACTTAACTACAGTTGTAAGGCTCATAATGCAAATATTAGCAAAAAAGCGAAGCACATACTTAAAATTATATAGAAGTAAGTGTTATTCCCTAAAATGTGAATGCCTCTGTTTTCTGGTGCAGTCTTCCTAAGTGGTTTGGGGGCCAGGGCTACAAAGGTTTGAGTCCCTTCCTCCAGGACTAATCTGGGGGAGACCACTGGGAAGTATCTGAGCTCTAGGTGTGACTGTGACAGTGATAAAAACGGGCCAGGAGCCACGATGCATCTCTGGGATACCAACCGCCATACACACAATGCCAGGTGCTCACGAGGTCCCTGACATGAGCTTTCCTTCATGCGGATGTTTCAGACATAAAATGAGATGCCTTTAAAACAAAAAGCAAACTGCTTCTGCCAGCCATATGTTTAATAAATGAATTGCTTCAGAATTTAGAGGAATTCTGGGACAAGTTGAGTCTAAATCAAGAGTACAGAAAGGGAAGTATTTTGTAGAGAAGAAAAAAATGGAGAGGTTCACCCAAAAAGAACAGAGTTGTGTGCAGGACAAAAGACAACCTTCAAAGGAGGAGGCTGACCTTGCTCTAGGCAACTTGAACTTGAACCACCATCAGGTGGAAGGACAGAGACTGAGCTCTGAGTTTCCAGCTCTACTAGCTACCAACAGACAGGTCTGGTGCCTAACATGGCCTACGAAACATAAATCACTTCTTAATGACTGTTTTTTTTTTTTTTTCAATTGTGAGTAGAGTACCAATGAATGAAATTTCAAAATCCGGTGGGATCCTACATTGATGCTACTTTTCCTACATGGATGCATGGATGGCGACAAGTTTGGCAGAAAAGGAAAGGAAATGAGCTGGAAACAAAAATTTTGGCCATGAACACAGGCTTAGGTGGTTCATGGTTGCCTCTGTCCCTGCCTCGGGACACTTGGACACTGGACACACCACAATCACTCTCTTACTTCTCGTCAAATTCAGGGTGATTTAAGATAGCGCTTTGCATTATGAACATGACTCAGACACAGGAGGATCTCAGAGTGAGGATGATTCAAGGCCATGGGACGGCCCACCCAGCCAGGTGAGCCCCAACCTGATCCCAGACAACGCATCCAATACCACACACTGATAAGGCATCCAATACCACACACTGATAAGGCTTTCGTCAGCTCCCTCAGGGAATTTCTGTAAAAAAGAACTGGTTTGGCCCAGTCCAGTGCTAAATTTATAGAAATAGGGATCAGACAGCAATGCTGGCCAATACAATTATGTGTGTCTCAAAGACCAGGGTTTTGTCTTTTCAGCACGCTACTGTGGATACCCGATGTACACCTGTTATGGGAGCCAGTGAATAAGCACCCACAAGCATGGGGCTGTTTAGGGAATTCCTGAATGGTAAATGCTTCTCCTGCAGGCCCAGAGGGAGGCAAATCTCTGCCTTTAGTCAGGCGGCCATGGGGCTCACCACCTTGGTATGATTTGGTGCACCTGTTACTTTTCTCAAGTATATTATTTAATTGTATTTATTTGCTTAAAAGTTAAGGATGTCAAGAGACAAAGAGAGACAGAGATCTCCCATCCACTGGTTCACTCCTCAGATGCCCACAACTGAGGATGGGCCAAGCCAAAGCCGAGAAGCAATTTGGGTCTCCCAAGTGGATGGCAAGGAGCCAAGCACTTGAGCAATCATCTATCTGCTGCCTTTCAGAGTATGCATTAGCAGGACGCTGGGATCCAGGTGGAGCCAGCACTCAAACCCAGGCGTTGATATGTGAGGCAAACACTCCAAGCAGCACCTTAACCCCTTAGACCGAATGCCTATCCTCTCCATAGATATTTTTAGTGGACAAAGAATGTCTATATTAAGAATAAATACAGGAAAAGTGACCTTCACTGCATTCTTCTAAGATAGGTTACATAAAGACAATCAGAACATTATCTGGATTTTCTTCATTGTTAAAATCAAGAAGTGGGGCCAGCATTGTGACATAGTGGGTAAAGCCACCGTCAGCATCCCATGTGAATGCCGGTTCATGTCCCAGCTGCTCCACTCCCAACCCAGCTCCCTGCTAACATGCCTGAGAAGGCAGTGGAGGATGGCCCAAGTGCTTGGGTCCCTGCCACCCACGTGGGAGACCTGAAGAAGCTCCTGGCTCCTGGCTTTGGCCTGGCTCAGCCCTGGCCATTATGGCCACTTGGGGAGTGAAAAAACGAATGGAAGATCTGTCTCTCTGCCTCCCTCTGTAACTCTGACCTTCAGATATAAATAAACAAATCCTTAAAAATAAATCAAGGAGTTAAATTTTTAACAACTCTCCCTTCAATACTCCACGATTTCATATGCAAAATATGATGTAAAAGAGTCATCAAGAAAGGTCCCAGAGCTGATGGCAAGGAGTGATGGAAGCTTTGTCACCTGATCCAGAGTGAGTAATACCTGAGATTTAATATTTAAGCAAAAAGGGGCTCCAAAGCACGTATGTGTCATCAGTCATTTGTCAGCGAGGGCAGGAGGCCCTGCTTTCTCAGGAGGTACCACCATCCTCCAAGTAGCACCTTTTGAAGATTAATAAACAAAAACTGGGTGAGCTACTAAGCAGAACAAGCTGGAATTCAAGGGGCCCAATACAGCCTGTATTTCAACCCCAGACAGTCCCTGCTTATGTCATGCCTTGGTGATGCCTATCTGTGCAGCTGACAGACTGCAAAGAAAGAGGAGCAGCCTCAGAGGTGAAATGCTACCTGCCGGGAGTGGAGCAAGCCTGGGGAAATCAAGATCCCCAGGCCTGGGGGCCCGGCCCCGGGCAACAATGAGAAAGGCGGAGAAGCAATGGCTGGTTTCCAATTCCAATTAACTGAGGAGCCAAGTCAGCAAACACTGCCAGGGACAGCGCTCCCTGAAAAGGGAGGCGACTAAAAAATGTAGAGAGACTGTGAACATTACCAGTTGCAGTATTGTGACTACTGTGTGCAACTTAAACTGGAAACATGAGAAATCAATAAACTTTTAAAATGTCCACTTAGAGAAGGCAGGTGAAACGATGCATTTACAAGTACATGACAGCAGCATTCACCGACTATAGAAAGCAGGCTTTGTAGAAGGTTCATCAGCCTAAACTGTAGACTCTGGTGAAAAATGTTTAACATTCATGTCCTTAATGCCACTGAAAAACTGGCCAAGACATTCATGGTGCCATTAACAGTGTCAAAGAACCAAAACATACCATCAGATATCTTTCTTCTTCAAAGAAACAATGCAACAAATAATAACACAAGGAGAGGATGATTAGATTCCAATCAGGAAAATGAAACTTTAATTGAAAAGATCAGTGCACTCAGTACTTGGAGAAGAAAAACTCAAACCCTTACAGATTGAAGAGCTGTACACAACCAGATATTAAAATACACCCTGGCTTAAGTGGTGATCTTCAGTATTATTCAGGCCAGATCAATGCCAAAGTCAGATGAGCAAGTTAACTCAATGAGAGCTGAAATCGAAGGCTACCTCTGGACTGTGTACCTGTTTGTTGGGGGTGGCAGGGCAGGGGGGTGAGGCAGGGAATCTCACTAATCTACACCATTCAGAGTAGCAATGTAGCTATACTCCTTGGTTTTCAGAAACTTTCACTTCAGTATATACTTCACATATAAAAACATCAAAAGGCATTACACCACAAGAGACAGTAAAATATTACGCATATGTATGCATGTTGTGACCAAAGACGAGTAGTTCAATGGACTCCAATATTAAATATCCTATCTCTATTCCTATTGGTTTTGAAATCTAATAAAAACACAGGAACACACTGCCCTTTATACTTACAAAGTGGGCACTACTGAGAGCTAAAGGATTTTCAGAACATTTAACTTTAAAGACTTGTTCATCTTATAGTGGAAAGGCAGAAAAGGGAAGAGAGACAGAGAGAGAGTGATGTATCTTCCATCTACAGGTTTACTCCTCAAATGCCTGCAACAGCCAGGGCTGCACCAGGCCAAAGCCAGAAACCAGGAACGCCACCCACATCGCCCACATGTATGGCAGAGGTCCAAGAACTTGGACTGTGGTCCCAGACTGAAGCACAACAGCCAGCATGGGATGGGGCGTTGCAAGCGGCAGCTTAGTCCACAGCACAACACTGGCCCAGTATTTAGCTCATATTCACTCCAACAGCCAATCACAGCCAAAGTCTTCATGAATGTAGATAAAGATTTAATAAACTGGGGGCCAGTGCTGTGGTGTAGCAGGTAAAGCCGGCCTGCAGTGCCAGCATCCCATATAGGCACCGGTTCCAATCCTGGCTGCTCCACTTCCGATCTAGTTCTCTGCTACGGCCTGGGAAAGCAGTAGAAGATGGCCCAAGTTCTTGGGTCCCTACACCCGGAAGAAGCTCCTGGTTCTTGGCTTCTGATTGGCTCAGCTCCAGCAGTTGCGGTCATCTGAGGAGCAAACCATCGGATGGAAGATATCTCTCTCTCTCTCTGCCTCTGCCTCTCTGTAGCTCTTTCAAATAAATAAATAGATTTTTAAAAAAAGATTGAATAAACTGTTAAAGTTACAGAATTTGTAGCTATTCTTCCCCACAATTGTTAGATATTAGCCAGAATTCCAAGTCACAACATCCATCCCATTCTGAACACATTTGCTGACACTATTATTATCTTACTATGATGGCTGAGTGCTCATTTGTAGCAAATGCCCTGAGCCCTCCCAATGTATTTTATAGACACCACCTCATTCAACACCTACTGCAACCTTTGAGTGTTACAACAATAGCTCTGTTCTGCAGATCATAGTAATGAAATCAGTAAGTAAATTGAGCTGCTTAGGACTGACAACCTGGAGATGCAACCAAAGCCTGAATATGAAATTCATTTACGTTGGATGTGCACCTTATATTCACAGCACCTTATATATTGTACTGAGCCTGTGTTTTCACGATGACCCATCATATGAGGTCAGCTGTAGAATTTGCCACGTGTGGTCATGGGTTTTGGATTTTGGAGTATTTTTGGATTTCAGATCTACAGATGAGGAAAACTCAACTTGTATCAAATATTCCCCCCTTGCCAGGCCCTGCAGCCATGTGCTCCCCTAATCCTCACAACAACAACGCGAGGATATGAGCACTATTATGATCCTGATACGACAGATGAAGAGACTAGGGCACAGAGAGTAAACAGCACTCCCAAGGCCGTACACGCTGCGTGTTGCCAGCCCAGGGAACCGACCAGATCCTCTGAACACCCACCAGTGCCGGGGAGCTTGGGTCTCTAAGCCTGTCCCTTTGTCCCCACTCCTAAGAAGAGCTGTGTCAGCAGTCAGGAAGGGGGCCAGGAACTGCACTCCCCAACCCACAAGCAAGTGGACACTGTCAGTTTCTGTGAAACAGCTCAACATAAAAAAATCACAGCTCCCACCACAGCTCAATCAATGGTCGCTGGACACGTGACCCCAAGGACAGGGCTTCAGACTGGCCAGAGCATGAGGCATCATGGAATAAGGAGCCCAGGTCTGGACAGGGGTTCAATGTCCACCGTGCAGTCCTCTGGTGCTTAAGCACTGTGACCCGCAGTGCACCATAGCAGACTCTTGGGGTAACAAAGGCTGTTAAGGGAGAGGCCCACCCCAGAGGGGCAACACACAGACACAGGCAAATACGTGAGCAAGTGGGTAGAAGCAGGGCAGCCAGTTAACGTAGGTGAGCCTGGGGAGTGAGGGGTGCTGCTCACCCCAGCAGGGAGGCAGGGCCATGGTGAGATGCAGTCACAGCAGAAGCAAGTCCACTGCACTGGCAATCCCCTGGCCAACCTAACCATTCTCAGTCTGACGACAGACAGGGGCACGGAGGAGCATGAAGCTGATTGCAAAAGGGCCAGGCTGGAGTGGACGCTCACGACTTTTGGTGAGCGCAAACTTCACCACTCCTGCCCAGCATCTGAGACAAGCGCACTCACAGTGGGTGACTGGGCCACAAGGCTGCAATGACCAACATGCCATTAATGCAATGGGAGGGAAGTGCCTTCCAATGCGAAGTGACTACAAAATACACGGCACAGCAAACCAAGCACGTGGGAGCACCTGCCGTCCCCAGTTTACACTAGTCACCATTTAGCCCTGGATTAGTGAGGCTTGAGAACAAGACGAGGTGTGATATTTAGTGGAATTGCTGAATCCGTCTTTACCCCAAGTATTTGCACTCAGGGTTAAGGCACATATTACAGATAGAATGCTCTTATTAATAACACCAGTATGGGCGTGGAGAGGAAAGCAGTAAAGGGATGTACACCCAAATGTGACCCGTATTTTGTCTTTGACAAGAAGGTCACATTCTATGCTATGCAACCATAAAATTCAATTATCTTGCAATCTTTGTATTGTGTTAGCAACTGGAAAAAGAAATCTACCAGTCCTCTGTCCTGTGAGGATGCTCACCTATTCACTAGTTGGGAAATACACTAATGGGGTTTACTTAATCCCAGGAGGAATTCTGATTCTAAGAGTCCAAGCTGTGGCCATTAAATATCCAGAGTGTTTAGAATTCTCAGGGAAAAAAAAAAAAAACACTGCAAGCAAACATCCAGGCAAGCTCAGAGAGGGCTGGGAAAAGCACATGCATCTTTGGACCAATGGAGAGAAGACAGAGGGAGGGGCAGGTGCCAGGTCCAGCCTCTTGGGGCACAGCGGCAGGGTCTGAACTTCCCCAGCACACACCAAAGCTGTCAGCCATTTTCACCAAGTGCTTCCTGCCAGGGCGTGAGATGTAGGGATAAGGCACGGGTGCTCAGAGCAGTGACCAGCATGGGAAGGCCAGACTCTGTCGATGTTGGCTAATGAACATAGCTTATGACGGGGAGAGGGGAGGGAGGAAATGGGGGACAGAGGGAAGGGAACGTGAGTAAGAATGGGAAAGTTGGGAACACACAAGGGATGGGATACTGAGATTTTCTGTGAAGCCTAGGAAGGGTTACATTTACCCTATGATCACACAGACATACAGTCAACCATTTTGAATAGAATTACCTTTTATTTCCCTTTGAGGTCCTACAGGGTCCTGACAGCTGCCAGTTCAAGACTCACAAAAAGGAGCAATGTTCTGGACCTCTGATTTTAGGATTTCTAAAAGGAAAAGAACACAGATTAAAAATTAGACCAGGGAAACTGTATGACAGAGACAGCTTCCTAATAATCTAGAGAAAAGCTGGATTCTAAGCCCTTTTCTAATTTAGCTGCCCTAACAAACTTTAAATCGGTTTCAGAAGAAAACAAACAATGGGGTATGAGGTAGGCTTTGTTTGTGGAGAGGAAACCAAATGAGAGCCAGTGCATGGTCATTAGCCTGGGGGAGCCCAGGCTTGCAACACTCCAGTGTCATCACTGCTGAATGGGACTCCTCCATCCTTCCAGCTCCCAGCACCTGCAGGAAATGAAGGATCCTCCTCTCAAACCAGGAAAGGCATCGGATCTTAGACCTGACCTGGGAACTGGTAGTTTGCAAGGAAGGGAAATATTACAAGGTAACTTCGCTTGTGCTGTCTGCCAGAAGCAGTTTGGATGTGAACCCACAAGCAAGGATACATTCCTCCTAGTCTGGGAGCTGCTTCCTGGGACAGACCTTGCAGTCTAAGGCAGTCAAGTTTGGAATACACAATATATCATTTTCAGGAAGGAAAAACTGACTGTTCACCCAGGCACTTGCCTGGGCTCAGCAATAATGTGATCCCAAGTTTCAAAGGGAGAAACTGAGGCCCTTGGAGGAGCAATGCCTGTGCAGGCCCCTGGGACAGAAGACCACTTTGACTGTACTTGGAGATACTTGGATGAATCATGAAAGTGATTGTTCTCCAGACATCTGGTAACTCAAGAGAAAACACTGCGGTGGAAATTATACCCGGCTTCTCCTCTGGCATCTGCTTTCATCACTGATGCCATCAGTGTGTCTTTGTTTACTTGGAAGCAGGAGCCGGCAGATGGGGAAAAAAATCGTGCTGAGTGCAGCAGATACCCTCTTTATGAGATTCACTGTGTATTTCGCATGGTTATGGGAGTAACCAATAGTAAAACATTTCAAGAAAGCACTTGAGATCCCAAGAGATGATGGTTAAGGGCCATTCATTCAGATTTGGGCCCGATTCCTAACAAGCATCATCTTTCTGGAGTGATGTGTAAATGTTTATGAGTAAAGCTGCAAAATCATGACCTATATTTTCTTACAGCTTCAAAAAAAAAACCCATCAAATGTCTATTTAAATAACAACTAAGACTGATACATCCCACTTTCACCTTTCAAACTTTCCAAACAGCCTACTTTCTCCTGTCCATTCCGAGCCTAAGGGGCTCAATGAGAATACAAAATAAAAATTAGTATTAGATTGAAATAGAAACTCAATTCCATGGCTCTGGTTGCTTTAGTACCTACATATAACATTTTTATTCAACTGCTAAGACAGAGTACAAGGGTACTTTTAAAAGTTCATGGAAAATTAGTGTAAATGAAGTTTACTTTGGTGTGAAAAATTATGAAGTCTATTCACAGCTTTCTCATAATACAAATTTTCCATGAATATTTGAAGCCTCCTCATATATGGGATTTCAGAAATCCAAATTCATAAAAATCACATACTATTAGTGGTATGTTAGAAAAAATGTATCTAAATTATGTTTGGGCCCCACTAGATTTTGATGCATCACAACCAAAGAAAGCACTTTGTATTGTAATAATGCACACTCAGTATTTTTCATTTTGGCCGAAATTTGTAGCAAAAATTTTTTCCATTTTTATTTTGCTTTTGTCTTTTCCTTCACATACTTCTGAAGAGGGCAAACAGTATACAGCTTAACCCTTGCCACACTGACTCAGGGAGAGAAAAGTCGCAAAGTTATGGTAAGAATATGGATTAACACCACATATGAAGAATTTTAAGACTGCGTTTATCCTCCCAGTGAGGTCAAAACCATCCTAATAAAAAGTATTCAGGAATCTTCCAGTTACCTCCTGCAGGGAATTCGGTTCTCACAGGAGGAAATGAAAGTGCAGAGGGGTTAGGTGACTGTCACAAAGTCACACAGCTGAGTCAAGAAGTCACACATTTCAGATTTCCTAGATGCCAATTCAATATTTTCCATAAATTACATATTTTTAAAAAAAAATATTTATTTACTTATTTTAAAGGCAGAGTCACAGATAAGCAAAGGCAGAGAGAGAGAGAGAAAGAGAGAGAGAGACAGGTCTTCCATCCACTAGTTCACTCCCCAGATGGCCGCAACAGCTGGGGCTGGGCCAATCCGAAGTCAGGAGCTTCTTCCTGGTGTCCCACATGCGTGCATGGGCCCAAGCACTTGGGCCGCCTTCTCCTGCTTTCCCAGACCACAGCAGAGAGCGTCATTGGAAGTGGAACGGCAGGGACTCGAACCAGCACCATATGGGATGCTGGCACACAGGCGGCTGCTTTACCCGCTATGCCACAGCATCAGCCCCCATGAATTACCTCTTTAAGAGTTTATAATTTCATCTATTTTAGTGTAAAGAATTACCATTCTCCACAGCACGAACACACTGATGACTCAACTTCATGTCAACATAAACCACTGCTCAAAATTATCAAGCTTACTAAGCCTTTTGCACCACAGTAAAGGCTAGATTAGGCCTATGTGAAATCTGAAATGAAAATTGGATACTCTTGGGTTGTCTAACCTAGATACATCTACCCTAAAAATACAATTTCCCTCTGTTACTCATAGTCAAGTCATAATCACAGGCTTGCTATAGTACATTTTCCACTATATTTCATAGATAGCTATCAAACAAAATGTAGGCATACTATAATCAATGCTTACATGCACAGTTTTTAAACAAAGACATGTAAAGTGATGGGTATTAGATCCATCAGTTCAGAAAGAACTCATATACTAAACTCCAGAATCATTAAGAGCACTCAGCTTACCCAGGGAGAAGCCCACTTTCATCAACAGTCCTTTGTTGCCTCCTCAGTTATTGATACCACGCAGTGTGAGGTACATGGGAATCAAAAAGCATGAGCAGTGACCTGCTTCCAGAAGACCAACAAATGGAGTTCCCAGGGAGGCCTTCGCAGTGGCCCTACAGGCAGGGTTTGCATGGAGTGGGTGTGTATATGGGAGTGTGTGTAGAGAGGCAGTCGGTAAATTCACATGTGGCTTTCCCAGGGAACAGGAGCTCATAGATGCAGGTGAAGGACAGCACATATGCAAGGAAACCAGGAAAGATAAACTAACACAGGCCAACATGACAGAACTGTGTCCCATGAATGCCCAAAAACCAGAAAGGTAGAAACAGATCAGGAAACCAAAAATCCACTAAGAAGGATTGCTTTCTTAAAACTACCAAGCAACAAAATACCTTCCCAGTATTTCTTCACATAAGCTCACCAATGGTATTAGAACTCGGTGCCAAACAATAAATAAACTTCCTGGAGCTATGGATCATCCAAAACAGGGGGGCGGGAAGGGGGAACAGGAGAGGATGTTGACCGAGAAAATAAATGTCAAGTATGAACAGGAAGTGATCTTCAAAAAAGACATGCATAATAAAATCACAATGTGACACTACTACATAACCATCCAAAAGGGCTGAATTTTTAAAAGACTTGAAGGCCAGCACCATGGCTCACTAGGCTAATCCTCCGCCTTGCGGCGCCGGCACACTGGGTTCTAGTCCTGGTCGGGGCACCGGATTCTGTCCCGGTTGCCCCTCTTCCAGGCCAGCTCTCTGCTGTGGCCAGGGAGTGCAGTGGAGGATGGCCCAAGTGCTTGGGCCCTGCACCCCATGGGAGACCAGGAGAAGCACCTGGCTCCTGCCATCGGATCAGCATGGTGCGCCGGCCGCAGCGCACCAGCCGCAGAGGCCATTGGAGGGTGAACCAACGGCAAAAGGAAGACCTTTCTCTCTGTCTCTCTCTCTCACTGTCCACTCTGCCTGTCAAAAAATTAAAAAATAATAAAAAAAAAAGACTTGAAGATACCAAGCATTTGCAAGGATAATGGAACAACTAGGGTTCTCATATAAAGTTAGTAGAAAATTCAAAATGTTACAGGTACATTGGGAAACAATTTGGCAATTTCTCCTAAAGGTAAGCATACACTTACCCATGATATGGCAATTCTCCTTGGTATATATCCTAGACAAACTTAAATACACGAATTCCATACAATGATTTGGACAAAAATGTTCCTAGCAACCTGATACATAATAGCCCCAAACTCAAAAGAACTCAAATGTCCATTAACTGCTGAATAGATAAGCAAATTCTCCGTGTGTTACACATGCTAATACTCACTGATAAAAAGGAAATAATTACTGATACATACAACGGCATAAAAGAACCTCAAAGAAGTATATCACAAAAAGAAAAAAAAGACAAATCAAAAAACTCTATGTGCGATGTCCATAATAGGAAGTTTTAGAAAAGACACCACTATTGCAATAAAAAGTAGATCAGTGATGACCCGGGCTCAGAGCCTGAAGGAAAGGAACGCACTGTGGAGAGGCATGAAAGGCACACTGAGGTGAGAGAAACAGTCTAGATCATGCCTGCAGTAGAGGGCCCCAGACTCGGCATATTTGTGAAAATTCCTTGGACTTACCCTTAACAAGTGATTTTAAAAGAATTCAGTGCTACCAGTATTTAATTTGAAAGTTCTCTACCTTCATTATAAGACCTGCCATCCCTCCAGCAAATGGCCCTCAGTGTCTACAAATACATAAGGATTATCCTTAGTGAGAGCCAAGTACTTGAAGACCATCAAGGAAGAAAAAGTCAGTCAGTCCTACATACAGGGAGGCTAAATCATTCCACTGTTTTTGCTTTCTTTTTTTTTTAATTTTATTTATTTATTTGACAGGTAGAGTTACAGACAATGAGAGAGAGACAGAGAGAAAGGTCTTCCTTCCGTTGGTTCACTCCCCGAATGGCCACAACGGCCAGAACTGCGCCAATCCAAAGCCAGGAGCCAGGAGCCAAGAGCCAAGAGCTTCCTCCAGGTCTCCCACGTGGATGCAGGGGCCCAAAGGACCTGGGCAATACTCCACTGCCTTTCTGGGCAATAGCAGAGAGCTGGACTGAAAGAGGAGCAGCCGGGTC